TCATTTAAATGTAACCCTTTATTTCAGAACTCCACATTTGCTATGGAATATCAGAAATCCACATAAAGTCCCAAGTGCCAGATTTTGTGTCTGGATCTCTGATTTAGATGAATAATGTGTAAAAGTTCATGAGGTGTGAAACTGCATATAGATAGCTCCTACTGCTTTATGCACATGAGGACATTAAGGTTTCTTCCAAGGTCAGTTTAATTTATGCTCACCAAATCCTATCAGAAATGTCACCTGCCTTCAGACAAAGCACATGACTAAGACTTTTGTTAATATTAGCTTACTGTCCCACCATACTCACTGTTGAAACTCTCATATTGAAAGGGGCATGATGTGAAGACCATACCTTCTTAAAGATGTCATAATATATTGTAATTGTAATTAAAAAGTAAGGACTGCTAGCTACTCTCACAATCTTCATCTTCCATATGCTTAAGAGCTATGAGCTAGGTTTAATATTAAATCTGGTTCTAAAACTTGTAGTTTAAAAAATAACCACAATGGCTGCAGACATACCTATGTATTTTTTTTACAAGTTTCAAATATACTCACCTATTATTTATTTGGACTCATCCATTCCATTATTGGAAATCATGTTTACAACAAAATGGTTTTTTCCCCTTTCAAAACAATTAGTTGATATTATAAATTGGGCAGTGAATTTTTTTACTAAAAGTTGTATGGCAATTAATAGAACTGTCAGTCGTTGTAACTGTGAATTGTTGGTAACTGCAGGCTATTGTTAATGCCACAACAAAGAGTTGTTTTTAAAGCATGCAGCTACATACTGGATTTGATTAAACTGTTTTGGATAAAGAGTAGGCTTACACAAAATGGAAACTGACCAAAAGGTGTGATCACTGAAAAACATGAGATAAATAAAAATACCTGTTAGAGTGGTCCAAGGTGAAGAATTCATACCTGTTATTTAATGTTTATTTATTATTTATTATATTTCATTTATAGCTCATTTGTTCAAATATATTCCAGAAACAGAAAGTTATTTACATTTGAAAATGTCGAGCTATACAGTGCAAAGTGATGCCTCTGTTCATGTGCTTTGTGTCATAATAACTTCCACATTTAAGTTTTAGATCCCTTGCCGGTAGCTCATCAAAAAGTGTAAGGATTAGCATGAGTAATACAGATTTATGTCTACCGTGATCCAGGAATGTTCTTTTGTGGAAGAGGATAAGACATGTCATGTCTTACTTTCCATCAAAGCTTTTCTTTGTACCCGATCAGGTCTGGGTGTTACTGAACCTGAATACTACCAGAATTCTAAAATGATACTCTTAATCCTTAGTCACTCATTCTTCTTTGTGACTGCTAATAACTTGCAAAATTAACTGTTAGTCTTTGCTACGTTAGGATTAAATCAGTAGCTAACACAACATGACCAAATGAGGCATTATTTATGTTTTGTGTTGACATAAAGATAAGCTGCTACCTGCTGTATTATTTCTGCACTGGAATTTCTACAACACTTACTTTCAAACCCACACTAAAGTGAGGAGCCATAGATATGTAAACTTTAAAGTCAAACACAATCCATGACTTGATAATAAGTACCCTTGAAGTGCTTCAACTTTAGGGTAAGACAAAAAATCGTAATCATGGTGGCTAGACAAATTTACTTCACTTTTAGTGCTATTTGGATAGTCAGGGAGCTGTAAGCTGCATAACTTCCTAGAAGCCATAAGGCAACAGTGGATTGAGAGAACTTTCCTGTGGATTCCACATTTTAGAGTTCCAGTTATTGCTGTGGCCCATCCCTTATGTGCAGTAGTTATGAGTAAGGTCCACCAGGCACACTTAAAGACAGGAACTTTTCCATGTATCTATGATCCCGATTTTTCAGATTTACCTGTGGTTTCTTTCTGGGCTTTTCTTCCCCTCTCTGAAAGTGTGTTTGTATTTCTAGAGCACAAATATACTATATTTCTAGTCAGGAGATTAAAAATGTAAATGTGTTGTTCCCTGAGATGTTCCTATCTTTTTGTAGGTTTACTGGTGGTAGAGAAAAGCTGGCTAGAGTTTTAAGAAATATTTACATATGTGAGTTGAAATGTTGCTAACTGCATGAAGAGAGACTCTGCTTTCAGCTTACAAGAGGCATTTTAAAAGCCAACTTTAATTACATTTTGCAAATGCTATATTACTAAGGAACACAAGGTTCTGATAAGAGGGAAAATTTTTTAAGGCTGGAATGATTCTTTTAAGTCTTCAACATTTGAATAATTAGTAAAACATATATTGTTACAAAATAAGTATCAGTGCTGTCCCTTTGAAGATCACAACAAGAAATATCTTCCAATTCCTGCAGAAGTAAAGCATTCTTCTTTGGATCAGAAAATATATATGCATAGTCTTTGTTTAAGAAATAATATCTGTGCTAACCACAGTGAATTTAGACCTGTCAGAATTTCTGCAAAAAACCCTACTTGGCTCTACTTGCTTGACCATTTGAATGAAATTTCAGATATGTATGTCCTGTTATAGCTGTATAGGATATAAACTTTTCCTGTTTTACCTTAAGTCAAATTTCACAAGAATGAGCTTTGCATGCCTAATGAAGGACAGCTCAGAAGATTAGGAACAAAGCATTTTTGTAGAACTAACACAAACTTCAGATATGTGAGTGCAGAAACTGTTGCTTAGCCACAAATGGTTTCTGTCAGATTCAGCTTTTATCTTGGATATTCCTGAAGGAATCTGGATTAATATAGTGAAAATGTTCATGAACCATCTCAACATAATTTTAGAAATTTCAGTGCTGAATAGTACACTAGGCTTCATTATAAAACTTTGTGACTGAGTCTTTTTATTTTATAAAATATATTTGCCCTGTATAGTTTGATTTGCATTTATTTTTCTGTTTGTCAGCTATTTTTTTGTTGTCTAGAATTTGAAAAAAGGAGACAAAGTACCTGTAAAATTCTGATCACCAATGTTGATGATTATATCATCCAAAATGGCAAACAGGCAATACAGGTTCTCTGTCTTTCCAGTGCTCTTTGTACTGGACCTGTCTAAGGGGATGTTCATTACATATGTTGGGAGTTACAAGTATTTATAATTAATTCCAAGAATTAATGGAATTGAAAATATCCTTCTGGATTTTATGGTAGCATGAGAAGCTGTGCATCACTTTTAAATTTGGCAATCAAAAGAAATCAATCATAAAGGAGTAAGCAAATATAATATGCGTTAGTCTTTGATAAAACTATCTGGAAGGGAGGGTTTTAAAAATATGAAATATTTGCAGTGATACAAAAAATCTGCTAAGATTTTTCATAGACAGGCTTTTTTCCTTTCCCACATCAAAAACACAGAGCAAATGTGATATAGTTGAAGAACTGATGATAAAGGGGTTTTTCTGTTTCATTCAAGTTATTGACAGCTTCTATTGCAGCTTTATATCTCTACATGAGTGTGCAGCATTTCTCTTTATTCTTGCTCTTACAGCTTTTAAGCTATTTTCCTTCATGTAGTCTATTATTCCACTACTCTTCTATTAAAGGTGGAGAATGATCCTTCACAAGGGAAGCAGGTTTTTTTTTTAGCACAATTTCTTTAAGTGTTTCTGTTAGTAATAATAAAAATATTTTGTATAAAAGAGTTTATTTTGTAAAAGAACTCTTGTGAAAATTCATCTGTCCTCCAGTTCAAATATGTCCTTACCTCCTTTTCTTATTTATAGAGGAATTGTAACTCACCTTTCTCTAGACCCAGTGTGGATAAAAGTAGCATTACTTGTTGCTGATTTTTTTGAATGATGTTGTGGATTTAAACAAAACAAACTCTCTCTGAAATATTTAAGAATTTACAGAGCATGGAGGGGTGTTAGTTCTTACCTTGGCTTGCGTATCTCAGCAGAAACAATGTATTTAATGAAGATGTCAACATGATTTGCACAGACAGCAGTGAAGTAGATTTTTCCCATTGTGAAACTGATGGCAAGTCCTTCCTCCTTGCTGTCCTCTGCAAATTACTTCTCCTTCCTAAACTCTTGATTCTTCTTGCTGTGAGAAATGTGTGACGTTACTTACCTAATATTTAGTGACATGGGTAAAAGTACACATGGAATTTTGGAGGTGTAGGTGAGCTCTGTCACAGACACAGTGGGAAGACCATACTCTGCCTCAGAAAGCAGAGTATGCTGTAACACAAGTCTGTGAAATTATGTCCTCAGAGTATTAAAGGTCTATGGTGACTGAATTTTTGAATTTCTTTAGTAATTTTACTAGTTGGCAAGGATATTGAGGGGACTTCAGTGAATATTGAAGTAAATTTAAATTTGGAAGTCTGAAATCTGTTCCAAGTCCATAGATTGGTGCATAAATATAACTGGCCTGATTTTTAAGAGGATGAATATCAGGTCAGTCATACTGAAGCAATGGGAATTGTTCCCAAGGGATGGACACCAGAGACTGGTTTTAGATGTCAGTTTGGAAAAAAGACTTTGGGCTTTAAATTCTAAAATGTATACAACAACTCCTTTTTGTCACATCAAAATTTTACTATTGATCTTTGTTAAATGCTGTGAATGAGAAGTTGTTAATGAACTTTTTATGTACTTTTGAATTGTGTAACTGAAATTCTTGTTCTCAGATGACCAGGTGTTTAAATCCAGGTGCTCTGTAAGTGCCACTTTACTGAATATTTATGAATTTCTAAAGATGTAAACTGAGCTAAATGGAATAAATGCCAGTTTGGCTTAGCACACAAGTAAGCCTGGACAGGAATTGTCTCATATATCCCTGTTCTGTTGGAAAATGCTTAGTAATGAAACACCATAATTTAGCAATTTAATATTATTGTTACTGTGCAAAGACTTAAAATGTTAGTCACTGTTGTGGTTCCATATATTACAAAATAGAAATTACAAAACATAAAACATACAATGCTGCACCAGTTTCTATCCGTCCGTTTTCATCTAGAATTTTCTAGGTTTTTTCTTAGCAAGATTTTGGGAGCAAAGAAAAGATCATACATAGAAAATCCTTTCTGAATTTTAACTTAGTTTGATGGCTCTTGAAAGCAAGCTTTGAGAGGTTAATGAGGGTTCTGTGACTTTTCACAGAGTGATAGCCATTAAAAAGATGACAACTGATGTGTAATTATATCTTTTTATGGAAAATTCTCTCTGCTTATCTGATCATTACAGAATTCATAAGTTTCTGAACCTCAGATCAAGAAGGTTTTAGAAGCTGAGGACCCATGACTGAATGCCTTGTTCCTGTTGCATTGTCTCCAATGCTTGCATTTTTCAGTGAGTACCTGCACAGCAATGGAAAAAGCATATTATTGTTTTATCCTTTAATAGTTGTTTCTCCAGAAATTTGTGTTAAGCTGGAAATATGCTAATTTGATGTATCTTTTGGGCATATGCAGGCAACTCTGTGGAAGCTTGGGAGGCTGTGGAAAAATAGAAATTTGGAAAAAAATAGATTTATAATGTGAGCACAACACATGGAGATTTCACCCAACCCCCAGCTTCCCCCCTGCCCCACCAAAGTTTTCCTGCACAAGTTTAAAAATACTTGAATGCAGATATTATTAACTATCTATTCAGTATTTGGCTGCATTTTTCCCCTTGCAGTTGTGAAACAGTCACATGTAATGAAACCTTGCCAAACAGCACAGGGAGGTTGCTAGAAAATGGAGGTCTTTACATAAGTAACATATGTAGATGAATATGTAATTATTTAAGAGTGTATGAGAGGCTACATCCTCTGTATATCTGCAATATATTATTCATTTTTCTTTACCTTTTCATTAGTTAACCTATTACTGTAATTATCACTCATCTTTTGTGGCAAGCTTTTTATATTAGAGTTACTCTAAAAACAGTGCAGTCGCCTAAAATATTCACATCATCTAAGATGAATTCCTTTCATGGTGCTGCAACCTGATACACCTTGGTGAAAATTTGTAGATGTGGCATTTTATATACGTTAGGGAAAAACAGGCTGACTGCATGAGAAAAGGAGTGGTGAGTCAGAGGAGGGAGATAGGAATGACCTTTTCCTTTTTTGTTCTTTGTCTTCATCTTGCACTTGTGGTAGGTAGTCATCATTTTCAGAGCAGAAAAAAATGCCAGGCTAATTAATTAATTAATTAATTAATATACATAGTATAATGTATTAATGCTTTCTGAAGTTAATCAGAAATATTATGTCATTTAAAAAAATAATTGGGATGCAAGATCTTTATCTGTATTCAGATTATCAACAAATAATATTCACAAGTCACATAAAAATTCCTCCTTAGGGTCTGTCACTCAGTTATCCAACAGTTTTTGGCCAAGAAGTTGTCTGATGTTCTTTGACTTGAGTTTCTGTAGTATCCAAATGTACAAAAAAACCCCCTAAGTGATGCAAAATATGTCTGCATTTCCTTCTCATTTTTTCTTGTAGTGGTATAATATTGTGCTCTCAAGAAGTCATTATGACATCTGAGACTGGATTTAGAGGTGGAAAAGCTCTAAATTAACACTACTTGTAAAAAGGGACTAAGGACTGTATGTAATTTTCTTCTGTGTTAATACTTTTAGAAGGTGGGTGAGTGAATCAGCCCCAGTTGGAGAGGTCAGCCTTGCAATATTTCCACCATCACTTGCACTTGGAATACTTGTGACAAGAGAAGTGGTTTACATGGAAAAATATTGGAAGGAAATTATTTTGGATCATACAGTGTGATATCTTTGTGCATGATGGGTAATCCTCGTGAGTGGGCTGTCAGCCAGGAATTCTTTTTCACTGCTGAAGCTTCAGACTGTGGCAGGACTTGAATTAGGTGCAGTCTACAGAAATATGATTTAAGATTAGATTTTCAGCTGTTTGCCTCGTGGAAGAAAGATCTTTCACATTTACAACTCTCTCATACCCAACAGGTCACAGCTTCCCCAGGGAGGAAGAAACATGGCCAACCTCTTTTCTTTTATCAAAGGTGCCATCAACGAGCTAATTGTCTAATTTGATTAACACTTTAATTGTGTCTGTTTGTGCCAGCTTTTATGTCCAGCTGGGAAATAAGACACTTGTCCTTTTTCAAGTTGCTTTGAAAAGGTCAGCAGAAGACAAGTTCTAATTGGAGCTCCTGTTCATCTTATATTTAAGAGCAGAGCAGGACACTTCCCGTATATCCTTGTCACAGCACCTCCCAGTCTGTTGGCCTGCAGACACAAACACTCTATAGAAAAGTGTAGGTAATTAATGCAAGTAGTGAAAGTCGTTCTCTGATTTGCCTTTATATCAATCATTCCAAGTTCAAACACCTCAGTAAACATTGCAAAATGGCAGATTTTTTAAAAACTCTTTTGTGTGATGACTAAAGTGGTAGAACAACTTTGAATTCCTGGTAGTTGTAGTAGTACTTGCCTTTCTAAATATTGCATATTCCACATTAGGAATAACTTAGAGAAGGTATTTGGTATGAGTAAGTCAATCTGTAGAAAAAGATGTAAGAGGTGAGGTATCAGGTTCAAGGTAAATTTATGAAGCCTTTACTTGCTCATGTTTCAGTAGGAATCCACAGGGGTAGATTTGTTGTAGCATGCATTAAATGAGTTTTTTGCCTTAGTGCAATGAAAGATTGTTCAAATCATTGTTAATAAACCATCTGTCCCTGTGTAACTGTAAATATTTGGTCATGGAATCTTTTGCAAAATTGTCCGGCTGCATCATTTGGCAATTATGACAGAACTCTTTCACTGATGCCTCTGATTTCTGTGGCAGCAGTTTGTATCCAAATCCATCATCAAAATATCTGTCCTGTGTCTCTTATTGACCTAATCAATCTGACTAATTTTGACCATGTTATTTCTTCTTAATATCTGTCAATATTCTATTTTCTAGAAGAGAAAAGCAGCTGCTTGGTACTTGGTTTGCTCCAAATGGATGTTTGAGTAGTGTAGTTCAGGCATATTGGCCCTGGAGGTTTTAACTTATTTTGAAATCAGGCAGATTTCCAAAACTGAATTTCTTTTCATTTAGACACAACTTTCAGTATAAGAGATGAAATAACAAGGTGAGAAAGAATAAATGTTGATAGGTGAATTGATGTATTTTTCCCTTGCTTAGGGACAAAAGGGAAAAGTAAGGAAATAAAAGTTACCATTTGCCATGTCTCAGGAAAATGAAGCATTTCATGTTCACCTGTTCACAGACTCATCTACAATACCATTTGCAGTGTGTGAAAGGTGCTTGGAGGCCTTTTCCTATGAAATGCACTTGCTTTTACTACTCCTAGTGAAGAGGTAGGTAATGAGGAGAAAGTTCGGAACAATTAAATGAACTGCAGCCCCTTGTTCCCTTATCCATTAAGGAAAGAGCATTACAGGAAGCAACTATGGTGAATAATAACTCTGGAAAACTAAGAAGAGAGCTGACATTAGTGATAATGCACTTTCTGCCTCTGGAAGGTAATATGTCTGCAAAGCAAACAATTTGAAATACACTCAAAAGCAAGGGAATACTGAGAGTGGAAATGCTGGATAGCAGATTGAAGTAAAACATGGGTTTGAAATGCAGTCATTGGCAGTAGGAAAAGACATCAATTGGTATATAAGTGCTACTGGGATTTTCATAGAACATGAAAAAGTTTGGGAAAAGCAAAAAAGCATAGCTCATATGTCAAAAACATTGGAAACAATTTACAGAAGAAAACAATGTAGCTATTGATTCCCCAAAATGCCGTGTAAAACTTTAGGGTACTGGGATTTGAATGGGAACATTCAGATGGTTCTGTGGGCTAGATTTTGTCCTGCATTCAGTTATTTGGGCTTTATGGTCACTTCTAAATTTACAAACAAGTCAGGCTAAATATTACTACACCTGCTTCTGTAGAGCTGGAGTTGCAAGGGGGGAATGACAGAATGGCTGCATATGAATGACCAATGTGACACACCTGAATGGCCTACTGAAGGAAAGCAGGCTCTGCTGAATACATTTATGTCCTGATCATGGAAATTAGATTATATTCCCCGTAACAGTGGATTTTTGATTTTACAGTTATTTAATACACCAGAAATAAATAGATGACTGAAACAAACCTTAAAACTTAAGTACTTCAGAAATATATTTTTGCTGGATAGTTGCATCCTCTAATTAATTGCAAATCTAATGTAACAGCAATTCACATCTGTGTTCTGTGTGTTTATCTATTTCTGTTTCTCAGTTTCTCAGTTACTCTGAATGCAGAAAGTGAATTACTATCACAATGTTTCCTCTATTCTGTAAGTTGTTTCCCAAGCTTCCATCAGGCTGTGTTTTTTTGATAACTCACACGGAACTCCACATTTCTGTGGATGCAGTTAATACATGCAAGGTGTGCATGTGTTCATGTCCACCTCTGCACACAGCACACAGAGACATCCAGGGGAGCATCTGAAATATGTGTGAATAACTCATTCAATCTTTCAAACAGTATAGTGGCTGTATTCTGACTAGCTCGAATGTTTAATTTAGAAAGAACTGATTAATTTTTTAAATTGATATAGTCATTTTCCTTTTCAGTGTGTGTTTTGTATTCATAGGGAAATACATGGAGTTGCCAGGGTTACCATGACTTTTCTTGAAGTCCTAGGATGATGTAGGATAAACACCTACAGTTCATGGATATGTGTTTCTGTGTGGGGTGAAAAGGTTTCTGTCCAGGGCCATTTTGACAAAGTTGGGATGAATGGCATCCGGTATCCCAGGTAAGCCTTTAACTAGAACTGACCTTGGGATTCCTTTTACAAGCTTGTGCAGCACACACAGGAACCCCTTTGCTGTGCAGCAGCATTTATCATTTGCAGGGAAAAAGTAAAGACAACACTAAAGTTTCCTGGGTGGTGAAGACTCAATGCCAGAAATTGTGACCCTTAAATGTGTCTTGCCACGGGAGCAGTAAGTCAGGATCACAACTCTCCTTGACTGGGAGCTGCGATGCAGATGCGGCTGTGAATTCAGGGACAGGCTGCAGCCAGTAAATATAAGATCAACTGCTGCTGTAGATCTTCCTGATAATTAATTCCACAGAGATGATGAGACTTTCCACATTCCATAATATTAAGTTTCCCCAAACCATATTAAGATTAAGCTTGTAACATTTACATATGGATGTATGAAGTTATACCTGTAGCAGGTATAACTATGTTTGCAACTTCTGCCTAAGAAACATAGACATGGTTATTTCAAAGTCAAATGTTATTATATATCATCACAAAAAAACCTCTGTAGAAGTAAAAATCAAGGCTAAGAAAGGTCATATTTAATATATTATAAAATTTTGCTTTATTTTTTGTGGCTTTAACAAAAATATCCATCATGAAGCTTTACACTGAGTACGTGTGAGTAACTCTGTTCCCATTATCTCTGGTTATCATGTACTAATGTTGCAAGTTGGAGATGTAGACCCAAGCTCAGTTTTTTAAGAGTAAAATGAGTACTATTTATAATATATATTTATATGTATATATGTATATATAAATACATAAAATATTAGTTGCATTTAGACTCAAGTATGATATGATTCTATGGTCTAGACAAAAGGAATTATTTTATTTATTTTAATAAAAAATTTGTCTCGAGCTGATGTGAATTCTTCTGTTTGTCTCATTCTCTTCAAACAGCTTAGTTGTGCCTAGGTTAGAAACTAATTTACTGTTTTGTTCAGACCTTAAAACTACAGTTGTGCTGTTTTACTGTTATTTTCCTTGCTTTTTTCCTCTTTCTTTTGAGGGATGGAAGTCTTTTTCTCTGCTGCTAAGCAATGAATGACACTGACAAAACTTGGCTATTTTCAATAAAATAGAACAAGGTCAATTTGAATGAAGAATATCTTATGCTAGTCAAAATGCTCAAGGACAGTGGAGAAGGGGAAAGAAACTGTGTGGAGAAAGGAATTCAGTTACACTTTGTTCAGGGTAAGTCCAGTACCTCTGAAAGTCTAAAATTAGAAATTTTTGCTGTATTAAGAAATTAGCAGGAAGAAAGGTGGACAATCTAACAGAACTGTAATAAAATTATTTGTCAAGATCTTAATTTAATGCTGCTTGAAATATCTCTAAAGTACCTAAGTGAAGCTGTGTGCAAATCTGAAAACACTTCAGTCCCATAGTGAAGATTTTACAGTGAAATAGAAGATCAGCCAGTGGGAGAAAGCACATCATGAAGAACACATGTAGAACTTAGTTGTGGATTTTTATGGCTGGAACATGTAGTAAGTACTAGGAGGACCTGATAAAAAGGAACCTTCTCTTTAGATGTTCTCAGTTCTCAGACTGGTTTTGCATGACTGGTTCCAATGGCTATTACATTCAAACACTTCCAGGTGTTTGGGCTGAACCTGAATTCCACTGATGCAGCACTTAACTGAATTCTGTCACAGGTGGTCATGCAATTAAATGCAGACCTTTACTCAAGAGATTCCATCTGTGTTCACTCCTGGGCCATTCACTCTCTTTGAGCTTGTACATAAACTTAATGCTGTAACTGCATGCACTTCTTATCATAATATAAACATAAAATAAATATTTTGCACTGTCACAGGATCGTGCTCTCAAGAAACTTCAAAACAATAGATTGAAATCAGGTTAAATTGATGTGTTCCCTGAGCAGCTGAGTATAATGCAGTGAATTCCGTCCAAGTTGATAACTCTTCATAGAGCAGGACAGGGTGAAGGTTTTGCTTCCAGTACTAATCTGAACTCCTTGTTGAGACCAACCACCTTGCAGCATGCCAATAAGAGCTGATGAAAGTCCTGGGAGAGATCTCAGGTGGAACTTTTGATTTGGAGTTGTTTCTTTGCCTGCCTGGTGCTCGGAATGCTTTGGATATGTGGGTTTCTCTTGGACAGTCCCTGGATTAAATCACAATATTGATGTGAATAAGTAGACACAAATCCCTGTTTTGACTAATTTGATGTCAAGAAATTGACCCTACAATGAGAAACGTCAGACTGCAGTATCTGTGTTTCCTTTCAGGATTTCCTTGCAAACAGAGGTAAAGAGTGTAGCCATGAGAGAAGTTTTGGGGTTGTGTATCCTACAAAGAGGAAAGACAAAAATGTTTGTCTTTGGACACCTTAGCACATAAACCTTGCAGGGATTTCTTTAGTTTAGTGGGTTCACAAGAAAGATGGTCATCAGGGAAATCTCTCTGCCACCCGCTCATGCTCAGAGAGTTGAGAGTTTTCTCAGAGTACAAAGACTTCTTTCTCCAAGCTGGTTCTTCTTACCAATGTCATGTTTGCTAAGCAGCTGAAGGCACCTGTGCTAAATGCACCTCCTCAGCTCCGTCAAGGCCACCAAAGCAGTTTGATTTAGATGATTACTTCAGGGAAGACAATGCCCGATTAGGTTGCCAATGTAATCCTGGTTTCAACAGCATGGAGCATGAGTATTAAAACATACCAATGTCCATTTAAGTTTAGATATAAGTGTGAAAAAGAAGGGAAGTTGTATGTGGGACAAAGAGACATGGACCTCCTTATGAATCCAAAAGAGATCTTTTATTGTAGAAATCACCCCCCTTTATACCTTTAACCTCAACCAGACAAAACCAAAACTCAACTGAAGAAGGGCACCCACGGGCTGGCTCAGCTGCAGTGCTGCTCTCCACGAGTCACAATTGTCTCTCACCCCCAGCCCACTGCCAACCATCCAGCCTGCAGCTGTGCCCTCCCACAGGGTCTTCTGGTGAGCATGAACCTTAACAACTTCAACAATTATAGCCCATATCCCACAGAAAATGAGGATAAAGTATTCTTCTATATATTTAACAAACAGTGCCTGTTGATTTGTGTCGCTCATCTGGAGCACCTTGGGCATATCTTCCAAGCCTAGAGTCCTTAGAAATCACAAAATAAAAGCTGAAATTACTCTTAAGATCTGGTTGAATTCATTCCCATTTATGTTACCATTTATCCCTCAAGGAGTTAGATTTTGGATACAAATGGAAATGCCCTTGCTGCTATGCCTGACTAGGTGCAGAACGCAAACAAAAATTAAAACACATTAAAAAGAATGAAGGATTTCCAAAATCTTCCCCCACAAAGGATTTAGTGGACAAAAGGAGGAGAAATAATGTGGGAGATTTAATTCCTCAGTAACTTCTGTCTCTGCCTTCTCTCCTATGACACAGGGTAGGTGTTGGCTTCTGACACTCCAGCCTGCAGTATCTCCTGAGGAACCAAAGGCTACACAGCCTTTTGTAAGAAACTGAGAGTGGACTAGTGTAGCATGTGCACCCCTTTCATCTGGCTCAAGTCTATCCCTCACCCATCCCTTTGGTCAAATATTTTATCAGTGTTTACATCAAAGTACCTGAATATTGTATTTTAACAAATGTTTTCCAAGGATGGGTTAAAATTATGGCCACTGATATTATAGGTCTCTCGTGTCTCATGAAGTGCATGAGACTAACTGTGATTTAATCAGATCTTTCTTTCCTAATGCATCGGTTTGCACAGAGATAGTTCCCATCTGTGCATCTTTTATTTTTGCCTTAGGGAATTTAGCAGGAAACCTAGTACACAGTCAAACAGTGCAGCGGAGTTTAGTGATTTGTATTCTGGTCACTTCATAAATAATCCTCCCAATGCTTGTTCCAATATGTAGTAAACACATTTGGGAAAAAATACACACAACTCTGTTGAGTGGAGTTGATTTGGGATCACTAAAGTGGTATTAGACCAGCATGTTGGTAGTTCCTTCTTGAAATTTTAACCATGTGGGAGAGATTTCTGAAACTATCTGATAGATAATAGTGAACACTAATATTTCTTTTCCTTGAATAGACAATCCTTTTTTGGATATTGTAAATTTATTTTATTTCTTATCTTTGTGCCTTTCAAGCAGACAAAGAAGAAATAAACTGAAACAGCAAAGCAGAATCAAGTGCTTGAACACATTCTGAAAAGGCAAATACATTGTTCATAACAACAGCCAGAGCTGAGCAGTAAAAGTCTCAGTACTTTTTGAAAAGCAAGGCTGTTAACAAAGAATTTAAAATTTGTTTTTAGTACCTTTAATTACAGGTAGGTTTTTTAATGTCAAACCCATTAGCTGACCAAAGAGTAAAGTAAGTCAGAGGGAGTTAAATGAAGATTCCTTATGCTGTCATGGGCCCAGCCAGCTAAACAGCTAATATGTCTGTACCTGACTATCTTGAGAGAAACATGAAAGCCACTGTAAGCTCAAATTCCTTCCTTTCACATCCTGCTCCAGATAGAAGACTCAATCCTGTTTCCAATACCATGTACTTGTTGCCAGTACAATGTGGTTTCCTGTCTACTCACGAGCACTGTTTCACACTTGTTCCTCTGAATATCTTGATTCACCAGGAATTTGCAAGGGTATAAAATCCCTGAAATGCCAAAGGTGTTTTTTAGTTGCTGAGGTTGATTAGGTTCTTAGAAATCAACTTCTTACTTTAAAAAAAGTTGGAAAAATGTCTGTTACCTCCAAGATATGTCACAATTATGTGTGCCATACATGGTAATTATTTTAATGCTTAATAAAAAATAGAAATATAAGTTAATATACGAAGAAGACTAGGCAGCATGGGGAAGATAGCAAGGCAGCTACAAGACCAAGTAGTCCTCAATTCAAATCAAGGCTGGATTGAACCTCTGTATTTTATGGACAAAAATATATTTTTTTGAGCCAGAACCTTACAAAAACATCTAATTTATAGATCTATTCAATAGATGAACAGTATTTTTGCAGAGTCCTTTTTAATACCTACACTCCATTGGATGTCCTTCTGTGCAGGGCAGGTTTCTTCTAAAATCCATGACAACTTTTTGAAAAAAAACAACCAAATTATCTTTATAGCAAATATCTTTTGTTCTAAAACCAGACATGAAAGGAGAACAAAGAAGAAGAAGAAGCAGAAGAAGAAGAAGAAGCAAAGGGACACAAATGCCTCTTGGCAGATAAAATATTCAAGTGTTTAACAGAATCATATAATAGTTTATATTGGAATGGACCTTTAAAGATCATCCAGTCCAAAGCCCCTGCCATGGGCTGGAGCATCAGTAGGGTAGGTTGATAGATGTAAATACTCTGTGATGTTTAAGGTCTTGCTTTAATGGTTCTGTCAGTTGCATTTGGAAGACTGAGCCTTATTAAGGGTCAGAGCAGTGGCTTTGGGCAGGTGCTTGTTATCTGACCTTTTTCTCACGGACATGCATCTCTCTCGATCTAAATAAACTAGTTAACTCCTGCATTTCCTTTACAATAAGCCTCAGAAAGAAATGAAACATTTATTCTGTAAGGTGACC